CGCCAACTTCACAGGTTAGTACTGGACACAGAGAGAGAGAGTTCTTCTTCTTCCTCTTCTAAGTCCACCTTCTCTTCTCACCCTCTCGCCACCTGACTTCTCAGACTACGACAGAGAGAGACAGAGTTGTGATTTGAGACTTGACGACATTGGATCTAGACTTGACATTTGGGATTCAGACATTTCGACGAGGGACTATTTGGGCTTGTGTCGAAGACTTGGTGTTGACGACATTCCCATCTTCCCCCTCCTCTTCGTCTATCCCCTTCCTCTTCGTCTGTGTATGGTATGGGCTGGCGCAGTCTTCCTGTGTGAAGCGCCAGGCCCATTTCACACCATGTAACGATGATGATGATGTGTGTTCAGGGCTGCATTGCAACATTGATTGTTCGGATCACTGGTATCTAAGTCTTCCGTTGTGCTATCTTATACTTTGTATTGAAAGGTCGGTTCTTGTTCTGGTCTGCACGTTACAGTATGCAACACATTGGCTCCGCCTCTTGGAAGAAGACTTCTCCTGGAAACCAGGGGACTGAGGTATACTCATATCCCAAACTTCACCGAACAGAGCATACCGGTTCGTATCCCGCACCTCAGCCACCGGCTACCTTTCCAAATTCTACTCCTATCCCATCGCCAATCACAACCTCCAGGAACTATCCATCCTCAACAGAGAAACTCATCTAGAGACGATAGAGTCCTTCCGGCTGCGAAAAGTGAGGGTAACAAAAACCGAACCTTGGATAACCTTCCAGCCTGGCCTCAGCATAGCAGAGCTCGAATTCGATCCTAAAGAGTGGATATGGAAACAAAGCAAATCCGGAAAAACTAGAACGATACTGGAACATGACGTAAAATTGGGGTACAACCTAGGCCTACGGCCTATGGAACCCAACCCCAAATGTGAAGACATATGGAGAGAGACACTGATCCTAGAGCCAACAGCCTCAATATCCATCCCCTGGACAAAATACCTCCCCATCAGACCAGCTAGAATCCGTAGCTTACAGTGGCTCCTAGCCCATGCAGCACTCCCTGTTAACCAGTGGCTCCACAAAAGAAGAAAACACTCGGACCCCGACAGCTTGGAACTATGCGTAATGTGCGGTGACAATGTCCCTGAAGACATCCCCCACTGCCTCCTCTACTGCAGCCAGGCCGCCTGGATATGGAACAAAGTCTGAAATCTATGGTCCCACCTCTTCTCATCCCCTCCCCCGAACCTCACCCCTCTGAACATCCTACTTCTATCTAACATCCTTGACAGCCTTAGAGGTGGAAAAGTGGTCTGGTTCCACATGATCAGGAAACTAGCCCTGTGGGTCATATGGAAAAGGAGGTGTGCCAATCGAAGGTTCAGAAGAGCCAAGGAGGAAATGTGGATTCTACTGCAGAGGATGGTGGAAACAGAGATCCGATGCAAATGGAAGACCATATCGACAGCAACGAGAGGCAAACATGAAAGACTCGCTCTCAAGAGACGAATCTTCATGAGAGACTGGTTGCTACAGGGAAATATCGCGACAGTCTCAGACAATAAATTACACTGGAAGAAATGGGCCACTCCAACAACGACAAGGAATGTAGCCCCGCCAGGGACAAATTGAGGTTCTAGCCTCAGACGGATAGACATCTCCCCCGGTTTTCTTGTGTTTCAATACGTATTCGACAGAACCAACAGGGTTTCTGAGAGGAAGCTAGGGTAGGGCAAGCTGACAGTCAATCCTCCCATACAGGAGTAATCAATGCTGGTCAGGGTTCCTTCGGCCACATGGAAGGAAGCGTGGGTGTGTACTATGATGTATTCAATGTTGACTTGCCGGGGGAATAGGAACCGGACTGATGCTCGCCAGAATGGACATGGAGCCAGGACCATAAGGACAGGTTAAAAAAAAAAAAAAAAAAAAATGCTGGTCAGGGTTCCTTCGGGCAGACGGAAGGACGGATGGAGTGTTCAACATGTATTCCAAGATTCAACTTGCAGGTGGAAAGGAACCGGACTGATGCTCCCCAGAATGGATATGGAGCCAGGACCATAAGGACCTGTTTATTTAAAAAAAAAAAAAAAAAACTTTTTGCCTTTGCTTTCTAAGCAGGGTCAGGGAGAAGTCCTATTCATTGTGGCGATTGTTTTGCGGATGTTCCCTGCCCATTGCTATCTGCAGTCTTTGATTGTCTTCGAGTGCTCCAGCATTGTTCAGCTCCTGAAGTTTATGAGGGGAAGGTTTTCGATATCGAGTGAAATTATACTAAAGGAACAAGGCAAAAGAAAGTGTTTAGCTCAGTTGGTACGTGCATGAACTGTTGGAGCACAGACCTGAGTTCAAATCGCAATGAAATTGGACGAGTAAAATAAGTTTAAATAACTCTTAACTGGGGCCACTCGGTTGAAAGATGATTTCTGAAGTCTGTCGACCTTAAAAAAAAAAAAGAGAAGAGAGCCTGACCTTCTGTCTTTTTTAAAATTTTTTTAATTATAAAAAAAAAGTAAATGGGATCATGTTGTCATTCCATACCTGTTGCTTGTCTGCAGGTGATTTGACTGAAATTGGCGAGAGAGGGATAAATATGAGTGGTGGCCAAAAGCAACGGATACAGCTTGCTCGTGCGGTTTACCAGGATGCAGACATTTACCTGCTAGATGATTCATTCAGTGCTGTTGATGCCCATACCGGCACGCAACTATTCCTGGTGAGAAGAGAGTAAGGTTCCTCCCGACACTGACATCTGCACAGTCCCTGATGCTCTTTGCCACTAATTTGAAGATAGTTCTAGATACCAGAGGAATTTACAAGGAGAGAAAGAAGGGAGAGCAGCGCAACTCAATACGGAGAGGGGAAAAGGAATGACCAGCCAAGCAAATACAGTCAACTGCCTCCTCAACAACTCTCCTCAGCGACTCTCTTAAACTAATATCTACAGATATGAGAAGTGGATATACTCCTAGCCTGTGTGCAGTTTAATTGCTGTAAAGCTGTGGTGAGGCAAGTCTGTCTTCTTCTTTGGTTGGTCCAGAGTACCTGTGTGTACTGAATAGTGAAAAATATGGCTCCTGCATCTCCTCCTGCCCTTCCTGTTCTGTGTGTTCTTCCTCTAGTAGTTGGATGCACCATAATCTGGTGTTGTCCAGATGCCCATCCAATTCCCTTCTCATAGAGGACACACCAAGGCTTGGGGCCCCTATTGTGGAACGGTTTTCACCTTTTGCAGACACAGATGCGGATCCCAGGGCTCGATCCCCAGACCTTGCCTTGCCTTGCCTTGCCTTGCCTTGCCTTGCCTTGCCTTGCCTTGCCTTGCCTTGCCTTGCCTTGCCTTGCCTTGCCTTGCCTTGCCTTGCCTT